ACAAGCAGAGCAATGGCTGCAAGTGAATGGTTTCTCACCAGTATGTGTTCGCATGTGTTGTTTTAAATCTCCTTTTCTAGCGAAACAAGCCGAGCACTGGCTGCAAGAGAATGGCTTCTCACCGGTATGGGTTCGCACGTGCCGTTGTAAAGTTCTTTTTAGAGGGAAACAAGCAGAGCAATGGCTGCAAGTGAATGGTTTTTCACCGGTATGTGTTCGCATGTGTGTTTTTAAAGTACCTTTTATAGCAAAACGGGCCGAGCAACGACTGCAACCGAACGGTTTGCATGTTGTGGTTGGCATATGATTTTGAATCTCATTTTCAAAATCTTGTTCTCTATCTTCCTTTACGTAAGTGCATTCATAGCTGTCAGTCTTAAGAGGGTCTTCGTTTTTAATCTCAATACTGGTATATAACTGGTCGATCCAATTTTCATTTTCTCCTTCCGATTTTATCCTGATGGAATGACCGATGAGAGAATTGGAGGAACACGAGGCGCTATTGAAGTATTCAACGGACTTTTTTTCTTCACTTGGAGAAGTTCCAATTTCAGTTTTCACATGGCAAGGTGTATGAGAGGCAAATTCCGTGTCAAATGCAGATTCTGCTTCCGGTTCAGTTAACTCACACTTTATGAATATAGTGTTACCAACCTCCGGGATAATGTCCTGTGGATCCTTCACACTTATTCTGCCTATAGAAATCTCTGGGATCCTGTCTTCAGGAGCTCTAAGTCCTCCTTCGGATGTGCATTTGAATTCGGATTGATCCATGTAGAATCCTGAACAGAAAAAATTTCGAATATTGTGAGCAAAATTTGCGAACGAGCGAAATATTTAGGGGTACCATATAGGGTGGAGAAAATATGAAATTCCGGCCGGCAAGGTTAGCCTCGTGGTCAGCGCGTCTGACTGTGGTTGAATAGGTCCCGGATTCGAATCCCGGCGGTGGCGACAAATGTTCATGCAACTGACGAGTGGATCTGCAGAGACAGATTTCACTCGGCCTTAATCTCTAAAAAGCGAAATGTAAACTGTTGAACTGAATGATCTTAAATTTTGTTTCTCGAATTTTACCCGAAATTTGGGGACTTAAAAACGCAATTTTGAACTAATTTTGCACATACCCAGATAATGTTGAGGCAAAGTAAGGTGAAATTGGCTCAAATCGCGGGAAAATCGTATGACCTTTAAAGTGGCAAATTTGGGGGTCCGAAACCCCCCTTAAAATTAGTTTGAAGTCATTTCTGTGATTCTTGCACAAAAGTGCTTACAATTTGGTAAATTTTCCTGCTTTGTTTCTTTCTCTACGATAAAATACGTTTGGGGTCGGGTCGCTCGCGAGGAACAATGGATACTGCCTCGGTCTCCGGACTGAGGTGTGGTGTACGAGGGAGAGAAGGGTAAAATGATTTCTGTATGTGCAAAAGGATTTCCGTATGAGCCACGGTTAGCACATGGTCTAATAAGTCTCACGGCTCATCAGAGATTGCACATAAGGGTCCCTCGCTTCTTTATCAGGGGCTCCAACGGGGCCAAAATGTAGCCAAGGGCTAGGGATCTTCGGAATTAGCTTTTTAAAAAAACGGAAGAGTGAAATTCACATTTGAGGATTGCTTAACTGTTCAGCCATCCTCCAATCAGTTCATTTACTTTTCTTATATATGCATGTTTTAAATAAGCGGGGCACTGTATTAAAAGTATTTAAAAAAGCTAAAGAAAGGAGCACGTCAGCTCTGGGATATAATAGGAAAATACAGACGATGAAGGAAATCAATCGACCTTAGAGATTGATGCATTAGTAACCTTTTTACAAGATCGCAAGAATTCTGAGCGAGCCCGCCCGTCATGCCGTTTATTAAAAAATATTGACTCAAATTCAAGCATTAACTGTAGTTCGCAGCGTTGCAATCGAGGTAAAAAAGCTCCTTTTCACGTGGAACCATCGATATTTGAGTTCGTTTACGGCAGGCGTGACCAACAACTATTTGACCACGGCTGTAGGAGAGTTGCAGCTTCGCGCGTGAAGGCGCGTCAAACTGCGAAGATGTCTTGACCGCCCTGCCGACCCTGGCGGGTGGGACGAACGCTAAAATCGCTGCGACAAATAGAGGATGCGTCATTATTTAAGACTCTCGTCTAATTTTTACCATTAGAAACCAAAATACCTATCCTACAGCTAAGATATAGCATCAGGGACCATGGTTGTTTTTTGGTAAAAAAAAAAAAAGGAAAATAGGACTAAATATAATTTCGCGACGAATTTTCCCGTGATTTCTTTTAAAATCGATCATAAGATTATAGTAAATTTTTCAGAAAATCTGAGCGTATCTTTTAAAAAAAAATTGATTCAAATTGAACCATTAACTGTGGTTAGCAACGTTGCAATCGAGGGAAATAAGTCCCTTGTCGCGTGGAACCGTGTCGTATATTTGAGTTCGTTTACGGCAGGCGTGACATACAACTATTTGACCACGGCTGTAAGCATGTTGCATCTTCGCCGGATTGAAGGCGCGTCAAACTGCGAAGATGTCTTGACTCTGGCGGGTGGGAAGAACGCTATAATCGCTGCGACACTTAGACGATGCGTCATTATTTATGACTCCCATCGAATTTTCACCACAGGAAACAAAAAAAAACTATGCGAATAGCTAAGATGTAGAATAAGGGACCATGGCTTTTTTTCGGTGAAAAGAAAAAAGGAAAATAGGACTAAATTTGATATCGCGACGAAATTTTCCGTGATTTCATTTAAAATCGTTCGTAAATGTATTGTAAATTTTTCAGAGAATCTGAGCGCCGCACGGTTAACGAAACATAGGATTGCCCGGTCATGGACTTCCTCCGCAACTTCTTTCCGCTACATGCTTCGATCTTTATGGAATTTCAGGTCAAAACTTAATGTTCTCAAAGCATTTTCATAGCAGAATCTGATTTTGACCCTAATTTGGCCGATGTTCACACGGAAACGCATGTTTTAGGGTGTTGTTATAAGTTTCAGGCATCAAAATTTACATGTAATAACGTCACAACAAAATACAAGGGTCGAAAAGATTTTGACAAAGTGCAACAATTTTAGGAACAGCGGAATCTGCCACGTTTGAGGAGCTCTGGGAAAAAATTGGAGGAAAAAAATTGAAAATACATGCTAGATTCGTATAGTATGAACCCTTAGGAACACTTCATGCCCACTTCGGATCCAAAATTAGCGACACCTCCATGTCCGACCTTTTGCCCATTTCGTTACAGTGTGCGTCACTTTCCGGTGAGTAACTCAGGCACTCGATACGTTGTATCGAGTACGGGGTCGAAACGATCGCAAAGGCGGTATACTGCGTTTACGCGCCAAAAGAGATCTTCGAGTACTCCAGAAATCTGAGTTTCCTGAGCGTTTGATTGTAAAATTAGGGCAAGAAACTTCAAAAGTAGTTGCACACCCCGCCCCCCCCTTCCCGTGCAGTATACAGTAGAGTAGTGCATAGGTGCGTGTGCTTTTATGTCTCCGTGACAGGGTCCGAATTTGTACCTGGAAAATCCAGGTTGGGATTCGGTCCGGAAAATATGTGTTCCGTTTTTAGAATCCTGAAAAGAATAAATTTCCAATGTCGTTGGCTACAGTATTGACGAGTTAAAGAGTTAAGAAGTACTCTATAAGCTAAAATCATTGGAATAACGAGGAATGCACCACGCCGAAGAGCGAAGCGCTTCGAGGCGTCGAACCGCAAAGTGGTCAGGGGACGTAGCCCAGCAGCTCTATTGGATTGGCAAGAAGACATGTGTCACGGAATCGGATGTCTAACAATGCATCGGGTANACAGTAGAGTAGTGCATAGGTGCATGTGCTTTTATGTCTCCGTGACAGGGTCCGAATATGTACCTGGAAAATCCAGGTTGGGATTCGGTCCGGAAAATATGTGTTCCGTTTTTAGAATCCTGAAAAGAATAAATTTCCAATGTCGTTGGCTACAGTATTGACGAGTTAAAGAGTTAAGAAGTACTCTATAAGCTAAAATCATTGGAATAACGAGGAATGCACCACGCCGAAGAGCGAAGCGCTTCGAGGCGTCGAACCGCAAAGTGGTCAGGGGACGTAGCCCAGCAGCTCTATTGGATTGGCAAGAAGACATGTGTCACGGAATCGGATGTCTAACAATGCATCGGGTAATATCATTCAGGTAAGAAGCTTCAGAAAAAGGTTCCGCCTTCATTCACAGTGAAACAGCGTTACCGTAAGGAGAGACGCCGTTTGCGTCCTTAAAAATTGCCAACTTTCCTTCGATAAAATACAAATTGTCAAGGAAATCTGTAGATGCTACTCTTAGAATTTTTCAGGAAATTTTATGCGCGATTCAGATCCGAAAGCGCCGTGACTCGATTTTAAATTTTATATTTTCTTCCACACAAATAGCGCTATTACAAGAAGATCCAATGACCACACGGCTTCATTTTTTCATTATGTGCTTCTGATGGTACGCCGGAATTGAGTATAAAAATAAAGGATGAAGATTTGTTGGTTTTCTTGTAAAACGTTACTTTCCAGTAAAAATTGAAAACGTTTTAAACAGAGATACGGCGTTATTACTTTCGACGTGCAAAACCTGGAGGTCTGCCTCCTCAAATGTAAACAATGACCAGTGCCGTTGTTTCCAAGTTTCCAGCGACTAACAAACCATGGCAATTTGAAAAGAGACGGAGGCACTGTGTTCGGTGTTAACCGCTTGTGAAGAAACCAATGAAAATTAATTAGATCTCATGTTTTTTTTGTCCCCCCCCCATTTTAAATGACAGTAATCCATTAAAAGCTTGCACAACTTAATGGTATT